ATAATCTTGTTTTCTTGTGCCCAATAATGCATAATTTCATTTGATAAACACGTTTAGATTGAATGGTAATTTATAATCAGTCACAAGAACGTCGAATCTGAATCACTTGAAAAAAACACGGGGGTGCTTAACTTTTTTCCAGGTGTATATGTTAGTGTATTATTCTTAATATAGCCATACCTAATCAATCTTCTGAACAGGGCTTACTCATTCCATGTGAGTGCAGATGGACAGATGCAGCCAGTACCATTTCCTCCTGATGCTCTGATTGGTCCAGGAATACCACGCCATGCACGGCAGATTAACACCCTAGGTCATGGCGAGGTAGTATGTGCAGTGACAATTAGTAGTCCTACAAAATACGTCTATACTGGAGGAAAGGTTTGTGATTTCAGGTTTTGTAGTAGAATGTTATGTTTGTGTTTTATATAGTTGTTTTAACAAAAAACAAAGTTATTGTATTGTGTGTTAACCCTGAAATGAAGTTAAAACAGTAATACTTGAGAATATTCTCAATAATGTTATATTGTTCTGATTTCTTTTTAACAGCAATTCATTATGTTCATTTCCTTACAGGGTTGTGTGAAAGTTTGGGATATTAGTCAACCTGGTAGTAAAAGTCCAGTGTCTCAGCTTGACTGTTTGGTAAGTTAAAAATGCTGAAATAAATTTAACTTAGCAATAGCAATCATTTTGTTTTATCATAAGCTGACTTCATTAACATATGCTCAAAATGCTAGTTAAAAAAAAATAAATATAGAATCTCATTCTGGCTAGATGATTCATTGGATAGACTTGAATTGTATTTAATTATGTTGCAAAAGCCCAGTTCATTAATTCATTATATGATTCATTGGATAAACTGATTATGACAGTATTGAAGAGCTTATTTTCATCCATTTTTAGTTAATGTTTTTAGAATTATACATTCTTAATTTTTACATCCCAGCAACGAGACAATTACATTCGTTCATGCAAGCTACTTCCAGATGGGCGAACATTAATTGTAGGTGGAGAGGCCAGCACCATTTGTGTTTGGGATCTAGGTTCTGTAAGTATAAATTTTCCAGTTTTTTATGAAATTTTACTTAAATATGTTTGTTTGTTTGAAATTACTAGTATCAATATGTTAAGACATAAATAAATATCTTGATATTTTTAAAGACTAATAGACTGTAATACTTAAAGGAGATAAAGAAAGCAGTTTTTTTTATTTTTTGTCTTTCTCTGCATATAGAATTAGTGATTAGTGTAATATTGTAGTTCATACAGATGTGTATCATGAGTACTATGGTGTTTGTGACCCCACTTAACCCACTGCTTTCTCTTAGAATTTTTTGTTTGATGTAATTATTTTGGGGTCTGTCCACATGTATGTGTAAGTGTATATTCAAAATGATTATTACATAGTTAATACATTACATATACTATGAGTAAATATGTGTGTTATCCTCAAAACCTGTTTTCATTCTTTCTCTCAGTTTTATAAGGAGAATTTTTTTGTATTTGCTGGTAATAAAATATTAGAGTGATGTAATTTTCTTTCATTTCTTCATTTCTTCTAATGTCATTCATGAAGCTTGTGACAGTTATGAATCACCTATCCAGTTTTCTTTGTTGTGGAACATTCTTTGGAAGCTTTCAGCTAAGAATGAATTGTGCAAAACTGTAAAAAATGTAATGCATATCATTAAAACTTACCCAATAAAAAAAAAAACACTTACAGAATGGAAACACAACAAAGCATTTTTGAAGATCCAGTTAAGTTGAGTATCTCACTGGTCAAAAGTATCTGTTTCTTGATATTTTTCTGTGAGATTACCTACAACTATCCTTCTCTGTTTTCTTTACTCTCATTCTCTCATCTAATGACCTAAACTTTCAGAAATGGGCAGCGATACAACTAATTCTAGTTATCTGTCCTCCCAACTTATAAGACTTCTTCCTTTAGGATGATGGTAATGTGTTTTGGGATATATACCATAATGTATCCATCAATGATGGGATGGTGATACATGACTTAAATCTAGTCAATGTCTGATGACAGCCTATATGAGAAGGTACATCACACAGCTTCTCTTGAACAAAATTTGAAACAAAGAACCTGGTATAGAAGAATAACAATGATAATTTTTGTGAAGAAGTTGGGTGGGGTGAGTCCTGACTCAGTGGCTTATAACACTTACAAGGAACTTCTGGAACCGAGTTATTCCTCTTTTCCAACATCCAAACTCAACAACTCTCAGAATAATGCTGTGATTTACCATCAAAGTCACTACCAGTTTCATTTTTCTCTGGGCTCAGTTTATTATCTACTCAGTCTGTTTAGTTAGCTAACAGCCCAACATAAATTGTCTGTCTGCTTAACTGACGGATTCATGTCAGTGGATAGGCACTTGTTGGCCATCTATGCAGTTTAATTTCATTATGGTTTTCAATAGAAAAGTATCAAAATCTCACAATACAATAAGTTCCAGAAATGTTATGCTGAGGATAAAATCAACATGAGCAGCAAAGGGAAAATTGAGAAACATAAATGATGGCATAAAACATTCTTTATTCTTACCAAAATTACACAGTGTGTTACTTGATCTTTCTCAACTCATGCTAACTTGTTCGTGTCTCTGTGACACTCCTTCAAATGAGTATGACTTCACTTCAAAATGGCATAACACAGAAATAGGGCCAAGGAACTATAAGCCTTGTGTGTTATGTAACCTTTGACTAAGCTAGGGAATTAGCAAACGCTTATGAATTTTCTGCATCTGGTTTACAAGTCATTAAATACATGTAGAAAATCGGCTTGAAAATTTATAAGAATATATCCAAATATACCTAAATATAGATATATTCTTTCTAGTTACAGAAGGTTGAAATTAACAGCTCTTTCAACTGTGACAACTATTCCCTCTTCCTTATCTCAAGGTCTACCTAGATTTGAAACTTAAAAATTAAATATTAAGAGGCCAAATTAGAAGTAACTAAAAAGTTCTTAACTTCCTTTAACCAGTTCTTTATACTACACCCAAAACACCATGATACATAAATGTATATGACAAAAGGTAACCTTATAAAACATATAAGGGTTCCTTTATCAGCCAATTAAAACTACAATTAAATGAAACAAGCCAAATCAAAAACTAAACAAAATAAAATGTAAAGATAATATTATTATTACAGATATTGAATAAAAGTTATAAAAAATCAAATATAAACTTTATAATAACAATTATGGTGAATTAAATATAATACAGAATAAACTCAAAAATAGCAAAAGTAATTAAAACTCAATTATAATAGATACCAAACAGAAGAAATATTAGATAAACTCAATACAATTTTAAAATAATCATCAAATCAAATATCAAGATAATCTTAGAAAATTTTAACAAAGTTTAATACAAAATTAGTCACTGAAAATGATACAAATCTAATTAATATATTAGAGCAAAAGGAAAATTGAATGCAACATGAGGTATGAATAACATAATACATTTATAGTGACAATCACTATCTAACTTTTTATTTTGTAGACAGATGTGGTGAGGTGAGTACTAAACCGGTGGTTTACAACACTGGCAAGAGACTTTCCTGAAACAGAGTTATGTTTCTTTTCCAATAAGATAACAGAATACTACTGAGATCTTCCAAAGATTGTCATCTTTCAGTAAAGCTTTTCCATAGGACCTTTCCAGCTCCCTGCATATCCTTCTTAAGAAATGATACCTCCTGTCTCAACTGGCAGTTTTAAGTAGCCAATTGGCAGTTCCCAGTACTACTCCTTCCATGTCATTAGTCAAGAGACCTTTGGCACAAAGTCTATACCTCTATTCACTCAACTTCCTGAGCCTAACAGTGTTGAAACCATTGTTTCATATCTCTCACTGTCATTTATTTGGGAATGGTTTTCAATGTAATCACTGGTAAGGTGATAATGGTCCCTTCTCTTTTCGTGCAGTTACTGGCAATAATCCCACTGGTTTCCCAAGAAAGCTTGGAAGAGAAAGAGACCTAACTTCTTCTTCTTGTACTTTTTCTTTAATGCCTGGAACACCTTATTGGAATTGGGGATCTTGTGATTCCATCGAATGAGCAGGATGATTTGTGGCTAGTGCACTGCTGTTGTACAGCACCTCTCCAATTATGGAACTATGCAGTGAATCCTGCAGGAGGTGAAAATATTATATCTGGGTGGTGGTTGACATAGAAACTGCTGTAAGATGATATCTAGGGCCAGAGTCCCAAAGTAGCTCTTCAGTCTACATGATATCATCTTTTAGGTTCCAAACTCTTGAAGTCGAGGATGAGTCAAATAAATTGTCTAAGGCTATGGTAAAATGCAAAGGTCAGGCTTATCTACTAGTCAATAGATGTTTGCATATATATTTATTTACCTTTAAACATAGTATTATCTTAGAATCATGGAATTTGACTCATTTGTTTTCTCTTTCCAATTTTTTTTCTGAATGGAAGGTGGATGGTTGTAAGTGCACTATTGTTGTATATATATATTTTTTCTATCTTGTTTTTATCATAGCATTGTACAGATTATTATTTAATAAAATCGTTAATGTGAGGGCAAAATATTTTATTAAAAGTGATAACATTAGACAAAAAATGATAATTATAACAGGACATGCATTTTAATGTTGAGGATGGGTGAACTGTTATTGGAAACAGTAATAATATCAAAAACCTTGACAACAACATTAACGTATGAAATGGTTTTCAACTAATCACACTATATTACAAAATTTCTGTTTTTTTATATGTAGCCAACACCTCGTATCAAGGCAGAACTGACATCCAGTGCTCCTGCTTGTTATGCTCTTGCTATCAGTCCAGACTCTAAAGTCTGTTTTAGCTGCTGTAGTGATGGAAACATTGCAGTATGGGATCTTCATAATGAAAAACTTGTTAGGTAGGTTTTTTCAAAATGGATCTTATACTTAGCTCACATATTTGATTTTTTATTTGTATGTTTGTGTTTTTTATTAGTTAGCATGTAATAGATGTATTGATGAACATATTAAAATTGTTACAATCATTTGTAATTATAGGCAATAACTTAAAAACCTGTTTGAATGTGTATTAAAGATATCTAACATAATTTTTACAGACAGTTTCAGGGACACACAGATGGTGCTAGTTGTATAGATATATCCAGTGATGGGACCAAGCTTTGGACAGGAGGATTAGATAATACCGTCCGTTCCTGGGATCTTAGGGAGGTGAGTTTAAAATAGCTTTAGACATCATAATTATTTTTAACCTGTGGACTATACAGAGATTGAGTACATTGCATTAAAATTATTTTGGAGCTTCACCATGTAATTACAGTCCGTGTCACTACATCCAGTTGTGCCTTATCTGATGAATGTGCATCTGTACAATAGTTTTGCATTACAGTGTCCATTGCAAAAGTATGTGGCATAAGGCTATCATGTCTAAAGCATTCTCTGCATGTTTTCCATAACTCATCTAGTATTTGAGGATGATGGTTTCCCAGCACTCATTTCAACATTCTAATCACATAAATATACATAGACATTGCATCTGGTAACTTGAGGTATGTGGCAGTTGAATGGGAAGTATGCCTGGAAGTCTTATTTTGTGGAACTACACCCTTTTAGTCTTGTTTCCACATGTTGCATACTGTTGCTTGGGGCATGTGGACAGTTTTTAATACTGATCTTGTTTTTGTGGATTTGCACCTGTTAAAAAATTCTGCACTTCACCTACTGTGGCTGAAGTATGACTTGTTGTAGGTCTCATTCTGGAAGGTCATGGTATCTCAGTGTGATTAATTTTCTTTTGTATTCCAATGCCAATAAGTACAAGGGATATCCCCATTCTTAACACATCTTGCTGATTTGTATATTCAAACTTTTAATATAGCTCACACTTGTAGTTGCCTTGGTAATACTTTTCTTCTCATATAATATGAGCATCAGGTATTACTCTCAGTAAGTCATTTTTCATTCTTCTTTTCTAATTTCTTTGGGTAAATAAAAAACAAAACTTTTTTCCTGTGATTTTGCTTGAATGTAATTAAAAATTACAAAGTTGTTTTTGTTAAATTTTAGATCATAAGACAATTGTAAAGACAACCATAACATCATTCTGTAAATTTAATAATCAAGCACAAAGTTAAAACTCAATATTCTTTATAAGCTATTCACAAAAGGTTGTCTGTGTTTAGCCAATCCAGAATTTTGAAGTGACAGATTAGAGGGAAGGCAACTAGCTAGTCAATAGCACTAACACTAATTCTTGAGATACTTTTGTTTGACTGAATAGTAGGATAAGATTTGACCATTGTTTATAATTCACCTACATCCTCAAAGTACAGAGTGCATTTGATTGGAAATGGGGCTTAAACGATGGCCTTTAAGATTCACATTCCAAGATACTAACCACTAGGCCATACCCAACCCAAGTTGCATAATGGGCTATCTGTATTGTGCTCTCTGCATGGATTGAATTACAAATTTTTAGTAGTACAACATTCAATTGTACCACTGAGCCAACTAGGCCTACCTAAAAAATGTGCAGAATTCTGTTGGTCTATTTCTAAGCTTGCTTTTCAGTTAGATTGTTTCATTTTTAGACAGGACAAATGTTAAAGTAAGGATGGGCATAGTATTTCTGTTGCAGTATCACAGCTTACATAAATATATTTTTGTTTATTTTTATTGCATATTGACAGACAAAACTAAAAAAAATACCTTAAATTTGGAAGGTAATATGGTATCTTATATTTAAAGTATACAACAGGAAAATATAACAAATCCTATAAAGGGGTATGATAATTAAATAAAGAATTGTAATCCACTTAAAACATTTTCACAATTTTTTTTTCTCAAATTTACTGCATTGTATGAATATGCAGTATTATCCTATGTTTTGGCTTCTAGTCTGCTGCCGTCTTCAAAAAGAGTATCCAGGTTTTACTAACTTCTGTGCTAGGCTGACTGAGTGTTTTATCAATTAGGAGGAGATAGAAGGCTTCTTTTGTTTTTTATTTTCTTGTGTGGTTCTTGTCCTATTATTCCGATTTATCATGTGGTCTTCTTCCATGCCATGATGGGCTTTTGTGGACAAATCAACATTACCAAGTCTATTATGTATGCCTATTAAATTCCTGAATCCTAACTTTTGTTATTCTTATTTTTCTTTCTTCAATGTATTAGAATCTACATTCACAGGGGATACTGTAATTTTTTTCCCTCCCTCTGTTGGATGGTTTGGTATTTAGTAATTGTGATTGAATTGTATTGTGGTTTTTTTATGCACTTACTTATTTGATATTGTCCAGTAACTGTGAAAAAACTGGCATTAGTATGCAGAATCAATGGAGAATCTTGATGAGGATAAGTGAACACCGGGGCTTTGGCCAAAACATGCTTTAGAAACTGGAATGCTTGCTTCCATTCAGACAATTCACCAGTGGTGAGTTTATGGACTTACAGTGCTAGAATCCGAGGTTTGATTCCCCTCAATGGATACAGCAGATAGCTCACTCATTTAGTCACATGCATGATTGTCTTAGAGATAGTACAAATCAAAACCAAGAAGTCTGCAAGCTTCTCATTATATCTCAGACTGGGGCCAGTCTCTGACCACTGTAAGCTTTGCAAGATCATGCAAACTACATTTTTGCTAGTTATGTGACCAAAAAACTCAACTTTAACATACATCAACTTTTTTGGTCTTACCTTTAAGACTGCATCTCTGGTACACTGAAATATCATTTTTATATTTTTTTAGGAGTTAGGCAAAAAGTAACCAAAAACTAAAATGTTGCTTGCATAGATTAGACATCTCTTCCATTGTAATTCTCCATCAGCCTCTAAAAAGGTAGTGGGTGCATTATATACTCTAAATTGCAAGTTGCAAAATTCATAGTACCTCACAAATGCTGAAAGCAGTCTTAGGTTACTTTTATCATCTTGTAACCAGAAGCTAGATGTAGCTTATTGAACCAGTGGATGCTCTCCAGACATTTTTTCCATCTAATAAGGCAAAGAAAAGTCATCAAAGCATGTCAGTGGTCACCTGCCTAAAGTCCACGCAGGACCTAGAAGTTACATCTTTCTCTCTTAAAACTGTCACTGGAAATGACCAAGCATTAACCAAAGGTTGTATTATTACATTCTTTAGTCTTAACACTAGCAACATCCTTGGTACTCCAGTAACATTTGTGTGGCAGTCGTTTTCATTGGATGTGCATCACTGGTATCCATGTGATTGTGCATGATCGTTGTTTAAACCCAGTGGGCCACCTGGTCCTACAAACACATGATCAAACTCTATCAGTATGTCACTACGTTACTGTTCTGAGTTCTTCTGGGCAACACATTCTACATCCAATGACCCCAAATGCTCAGAAAGCTATACATGCACTTTTGAACATGTTACTTCTGCAGTGATACCAGCTACATATGTGATTTACATTACTTCTTTTGTGCCAATGACATTTCCAGTTGTAACACTAACACAATGCCATCACTTACCCAGTCAAGTACAGCTTTATTTGTTAACAGAACTTTTGTTCTATCTCTGCAGTAAATTATAACAATGCAGTGCACTAAATTAAGAATGTGCCCCACTTGCACATATGGGTATTTCATTGTTTTACTTTCTTATTAATGAAGAAACAATGAATAAAAAACAAAACAAGCATACAAGTATAAGGGCATACTTGTAGTTTGTGTTTCAGTTTTACTCAGTGTTCCACTATAACTTTTCTTTCACATAGTATTTTCATCCTTATATTACATGAAACATTAATTATTTTCATATTGTGAAATTATTATTGAAGTATAAAGTGTGTGTGTGTTTATACAGAAAGATAATTTTTCTTCTCACAGGGGCGACAACTTCAGCAACATGACTTTACATCTCAAATATTTTCCCTTGGTTACTGTCCTACTGGAGACTGGCTTGCTGTAGGGTAAGGCATTATTGTATAGACAATATCAAGCACTAAAACTATATTAATGTCATTTCATTGAAAGATTCATTTATGATGTTAAGAAAATGCATGTTGTAGGATTTCTTATTTCTGTCTTTCATTATATATATATATATATATTGGTATACTTTGGTGACAGATTTTCTTGTAGGCAGATTTTGTTAAACAAGACCGATGTCTGTAGGTTTACTTTCTTCTTAGAATTCTTCTCAAGAAGTCGATAAGCCGTCTTAACGTTGTTAGAACAACGGGTAAAAGTTGTAGTTAGTGATGAGTTGGCCGACGCGTTTCGAATGCATTCTGCATCCATTATCAAGGCTGTTGTTAGAACAACGGGTAAAAGTTGTATCTTGTGTTCTGAATAGCTCCTTTTTATAGGAGTACTTTTGAAATGTGGTATGTATTTCTAATTTCAGTATTAAAAAATTGTATAATTCTAAAGCAAAAGTGAAAATATTTTTTCTGATTGTGAGTGGGATGTATTGAGACTTCATGATGATTTTTTTTTTGTACTACTTTAAGCTATTTGGTAGTTATTTAGATGTTTTATTTCTTATTGTTTCAATATCAATCTCATAGTCAGGCTAACACAGTAAGTAACCAGATAGGAGGAAAAAGCTGTAACACTGTTTGAGAATTGAATATAAGACTTACAGTTTGCTATGGATCAAGATGCTTTATATAAAGAACAAAGACTTTGGACAACCATAGATTCTAATATTATTGTGTAGTGAAACAAAATATTAAGAAGTTTGCTAATACCATATGAATTATTTTTTATTTATCCAAGTTTAATTTTATATTCTTAACTTTAGATAATAAACAAATGTATATGTCATTACCATAAGTTATGTACAACTTTTTACTGTGTTAAAAAACAAGGAAATTATTTCAGTGCTTAATTATTTTAAAGTATTAAATAGAAATAAATACACATCATTTCTTGAATGTTTGAGGGATGAGCTAAGATTTTTGTGACTATGTTGTAAACTTAAAAACCCAGTTATAGTATTTTTACTTTTTGAACCAATATTGTATATTAATTTTTTGACAAGATGGCTGAATTTAAGAATCACTATTGTATGAATGGGCATCATCGTCATCACTCTGTTCATTTATATAGTATGGAAAACAGTAACGTGGAGGTCTTACACTGTTCCAAACCTGATAAATACCAGCTACATCTACATGAAAGTTGTGTGTTGTCCTTAAAGTTTGCTTCTTGTGGGAAATGGTTTGTCAGCACAGGCAAGGATAATCTTTTAAATGCCTGGATTACACCTTATGGGGCTAGCATTTTTCAGGTGAGTGATTAACTAGAAAATAGAAATGAAAAACCAGTAGTTGTAATTAGAAATAGGTCTGTGTAGTTATACAGTTATTTTAATTTATTAAAGAAAACATATATATTACTACTGACCAGCAACACCCTTTGAGATTTAAATTGGGTTGAGGGAAGAAATTTTTATGAAAACTCTTGGACTTTTCTAAAGTGAAAATGCAATATGTGGCTTTGCATTTGATTACACAGCACACACAATAAAAAGCATAAAACTGGTACTTTATTGTTAGGTTATTCTAACCTTCTGGGGGGGGGGGGTCAAATTGCTCCTCCACAGTTAGGTTTCCTGCTATTGACAAAGCTTGGTGCAATATGTGTAGATAGATCAGTAAGTGTTGTAGTTGTGTGCAACTCTGGTCCAACAGTAACAGAGAAATTGGTAAAGTTTGGATGCTTAATGTCTTGGAATGAAATACAGTTGGATAAAACAGCTGTCATAGATTACTTTTAATATTCTTGCAAGAATATTATGATAAAAAATGTCAGTAATCATAGTCACTTCCTCTACATAGTACTTGCAAGATGCAAGTATTTTTGTTTTTAATTTTAATGTCTAAGAGAATCAAATTGTAATATAAGTAGAGGAATACAAGAGCATGTTATTGGAGGTAATTGTTTTCTGTGCAAATATTTATATGTATGCGAGTTTTCATTCCTAGTCTTTTACTGTTTATTTACTTATTTATTCAGTCTATTTTCATCCTTTTCTTCTTTGAAGTAAAATTATATATAGTATTACCATTCCTTAAAAAAAATTGTTAAAGTGGTATAACCTACCATGGTGATATGTACTCACGAAGTAACAGTTCACAAGATCCCTAAATCACATACTTACAACGATCTAAGTAACTGTTCTGCTTTGTAGATAAATATCACAAGTTTGTGACATATTTAAACAACACATTTCTCTCCTTACATTTGCAGTTTATTTTCTGAATTAAATTCCTACCATTATGGTTTAAGCTGTGTTTCACCATTTCTTACCAGACTTTCTTATTTTTACAGTCTAAAGAGGTTTCTTCTGTGCTGAGCTGTGACATCTCTTCTGATGATAAGTATATAGTCACAGGGTCTGGAGATAAGAAAGCAACAGTTTATGAAGTAATCTTTTGAAGATTCTAGAGGCCTTTTTGGTGAAGTTTCCTATGTTTGAGAATCAACCAGCAGAAACTGTTGTGTATATTATTGTATCTAATTTTACTAGAAAACCATTTATGGATACTTGGTGACTGTTTCCAATATCTTGTGAATCTTCCTATGGAGATTTCATGTGCGTGCATGTTTATGTATATGTTTTTACAAAGTTATTTGTTTGTGAAAACACAAAAGACAAGGACAGAAATCTGGCTCAAACCAAGGAAAACCTTGTAATCAAAAAAATGTATGGAGAAAAACCTATGTCAATAACTTGTTCCTTGATTTGCTAGTCTGCATTCCTAGGGAAACACTATTATCATGTTTCAAAACTACTTTTAAGTGGTAATGACAGTGTAACTGATACCTTAGAAGTTCCTTCATTACCAATTGTTCTGAAGAGAAGCAAAGTGGAAATATTTTTGTAACACAGTAACTAGAATTATTTGTCTGTAAAGTTTTCTTGCTTGAAAAATACACTTATATAATGATTCCTTTCCTTAGATGCACAAAACCTTGTTTGAAGTTTAGAATATTTCTCATGGGTGAGATAACATGAAAGTCATTTGACATGTATTCTTACCCTTATCTTTTGGTCTAAGATATTTTTGAAATAAACTCAGTTAATAATCAGAGTAATGTAACATAAAATGATTTAGTTACTTAAAATATTTTTGTCAAAGTGTTTTGCATATCTCATGTTTCCATTTACCTATTTATCCTTAAAGCTATTTGATGGATGGTTTTTAGTAGTTTAATTAGGACCTTAAACATTTTAATGTATTATTAGTAATGATGTTTGAAATATTGTAACTTTTATGGAATAAAAAAAAGCCATTTATCAAACCTTCAGAATTTCATTATCACATATATTCAAAAACAGAATTTTTGTATAATTCAGAATTTTTTATAAATTTTTAAAAAGAGTAAAATAAATGAAACAGTTTTCCTAATAGTAAAACAACCTCAAAGAAAAGCATAATTTATCATGCAATTTTTTTAATATACAATACAACAAAAAATTTATTATTTGAGGCATAAATAACAAATTTGAAATATAAGATTAGTTGATGCACTTTTAACAATAAAGTATGGTAAATAGAATCATTTTCATAATAAATTCTAGAAGTTAAAACTTTTTTTTTGTATTTAGAATAGCACAGCAACAATATTTCTGATTTTTGTTCATTATATTAAAAGAACAAATTAAATATTTTACTATAAATTATTTTATGCAATAGTTCTTTTGTTTAATGCAAAGTTTAAGTTAGCTACTTTTACAAGGTTTTAGCTCCAAATAAACTAAGTGCAACTATTCAAGTCTAGTATTAATATGCATAACTGATTCTAATCATAACACTATTTCAACTTCATTCAAAGGTAAGCCAACAAACACTAAACAGAATAAACTTTGCACATTAGCTGCATTGGTCATGAAATATGAGATCTCATGTAGTAAAAGTGGTGAACCCAGCCAACCAGTGAGTGTCCTACTTACAAGTATTTACAAATCTTTTATTGTTGGTAGCAAATTGGTTAAATCAGTATGAGCTGTGTTATCATAAACAGTTGATGTTTATGTTGATTTTTCACCAGCATTAGTATAACTTGTACTTTGCTTTGGATTTATAAAGGAGCATGGAATTACAGTGACAGCCATTTCACATATTTTGTAATGGTGATATTTGATATAACTTGTTAAATGTACAATTTAAGAGAAAATTGCACAGATGTTTCTTATATGTAGTTGAACAATTTAAAAGAAAATAATGGAAAAAAAGGTGTTTATTTTAATAGCATAATGAAATGACTATCGTTTCTGCTTTGTTAATGGTTAATTTTATTCAAAGACAACCTGTGATCACGGATTTTTTAAATTTGGCAAAATAATTATAGATTAATCTTAAAATTATGTTCTTAAAGAAATGCTTAAAGTGAAAACAAACACTTCACATTTTTTTTACTGATACGAAGGTAAATTTTACATATAATACATTTAATTTGCTTTCAGACTATTACAAAAAAATATTGAATTTTGTTTTAAGAATATTTTCATCAAATTGAGAAGATCAATTTTTCTAAAATATTTCCTTCTGAACAAAATCTAGCAGATGAGCTATCTTAAGCTTCTCAGGTTATCTAATATATTAAATCAAGTAAAAAACTTTCATTAACATTTATTTGAATCTGGCAGAATTAAAGGTTTGTTTCCTTTGCAGATCTAAAATAAATATTACTAGCTTCAGTTCTGTTTTGAAAACTATCAAAAAGAACATCTCAAACATAATGTTCTGTCATATGTTATGAAATTCTGTGGTAAACATATGAGAAATGAAGTACTTTTGTTACTAGATCTGCATTCTTGTTCTGTGAGTAATGTGAATTTTATAAATAAATGTGTTTGTTGAGTACCATATTTGTGTGTAATATTTAGTTATTGGTAAGCTATAGCATAATTTTATTTATTATGTTTATTAATATTCCTGTATATTGTAAAAACAATCGGAAATGACACCTAAAACGGAAATTTATACCCACTAGAACTATTTGTATTGAAACCTTTTTTTTTTCTTTTCTGAACTTACCAACTATGATTTAGAATATCTCGTAAATATTTATGTTGTCGGGTCAAATAGCCTTTTTACAAACAATATGAAGTTTTGAAACATCTATCTATGGGATAATAAATTTCTGTACAATGTTTCATCTCTTAATAGTGGGACATGATCACATACAAAATTTAAGGTACAAGTACATTCAAGTTGCAAATAAATCCAATCAAATAATTTGGTTTTTGATACTAGCTCCATCTGGTTTCAAATGTAATTACTCCCGATGTTTTATTAATGTTAGGTTTGAAATCTTTGATTCTTAGTGCTTCCAGATATTTTCTTTTGTTTGAGTATTTGGATGTATTCAATACTTTAATATTTTTTAAGATAACTATGTGTTGTTTTTTAGCCATAGCTTTGATTATGAATTATGCCAATGGCTAGCTTAGATACACAAAAGAACAATATACACACACAAAATGAGAAAACTGTTATGTACAACTCTTACAAGCAACAACTTGAAAAAATAAAACCCGGATAGCAATATATGTATCTTCAAAAATAGAGTCGATGTACATTCAAATACTTGTGGAAGAAGCCATTGTAATAACATTAAACAAAGATATAAAAGTAAATTTAGATGTGAAAAACTATTGAAATTAAAAACTTCTATGTACAAAGAGTAGGTCTGGGAATAGGAAGCCATTATCTCCAATATTATTCCTCATTAGCATAGACAAAGGCCGTTAATACAGCAATATCTGCACCATTTTTCTGGTGGAGATATGTTGATGTACTATGTGGCTTTAAAGGACAAAAATAAATGTTTTTTAACACATGAACAAACAACATAAAATTCACAATAGAAAAATGGCTGTAAAAGCTTCTTAAATGTGAACAAAAATAAACAATTTGAAGATTCACTAAAAGAAGGCTCGCAAAGTAACTTACCTAAACTGGTTTTCTGCTCACAATAAAAAAAGGAACACTAAAAGAATGTGTAATAACAGCTCTGAGATTATGCACCAATGAAACTGTGACAAATGAAATTCAAAACGTAAGAGAATGTTTCAAAGAAAAATAAGTACCCTCTAAGCATAATTAATGAACAACCAAGAAAACAATGAACACATACAGGAAAAAGAAAACTGACTAAAATGTATTTATAGATCAATACGATTTATAGGTGTTATTAATGAAAAATTAATTAGATTATGATACAAATTAAGCAAAAAAAACAAAAACAAATTAAATGTGAAAATCAAAACTAAACCAAAAACTAGCATTAAGTTTTACCAAAGTTATATAATAATGAATAATATGGCAATGGCACAGTGTATAAAATGATGACCAGATGTAAGGAACATTAAAAAAATCAAAGTTTGTATGAAGTTAATTACATCTAACACTAGAGGGAGATAATATCAAAAACCAAATTATCTGACTGAATATATTTGTAACTTCAATGTACTTGTGATCATGACTCACTGTTAGAGAGGAAATGTTGCACAGAAATAAGTCTATTATTCCACAAATAACCAGTTTTAGGCTTCATATTCATAAGTGGGTACCTCTTAAAAGGCAAGTAGTCTGCTTAGTTAATTTTTTTCTTGCATTTTTGTTTTCAAAAATTCCCATTAGAAAAACATATTTACTGAGAGTTTTGTGCCAATTTATAGTTAGAAATGCAGTATCATTAATCTTTATCAAAATTTAAACAGAATTAAATAAAACTTGACTTAAAGTGCTAGATCAATAAATTATCATTAAAATAGCCCCCCAGTGACACAGTGGTATGTCTGCAGACTTACAACGCTAGCGATACCCATGGTGGGCAGAGCACAGATAGCCCATTGTGTAGCATTGTGCTTAATTACAAACAAACAAATCATTAAAATATGAAGACTTTTTTTTTATCTGGTTTAACTTCTGTCACAAGTTGACAGATTTGGGAATGGTATTATAATTTCTCTGAACTGTAATCTATTAGAAAGTTTTACTATTTAGTTGTTCTTTTTTTTTAATGAATAAACGGTAGTCCAGTCTGAAATAAAAATATTTATTTCACATGAAAACGTGCCATGTATAAATAACATGTTGTGCCACTTGAAACTGTTAACTTCATTTACAAAACTGAGAGACCCTATATAGGAATGTCGTTTCAGATAACCACAATAAATAAACAACAGAGAATTTCTCAGCTTGAACTTACCATAAAATCCCCATCTGATTCAGATGAGATTCTTCTTCAAAGATAATCTTCATGTTCTCAGTATTTGAGCCCAATACACAATCAAAAAGTGGCATTTCTTTGGTATATATATATAAAAGACGTTTCACAATTGATAAAACACCTTTTTCATATATTGGAAACACATGCACCACATCCAACAATACACCAGGCTCCTAAATCTTCTTTTTTTTCTATTTTTGTTTTGCAAAAAAAATCTTGATGGATTTCTAATCCACTTTTCATAAAGTACTTCTAATCAAATCTTTCTTGATTCCTGAGTAGAAAAGTTTATCCTTTTCTCTGACAGAACTGTCACACTCATTATTTATAAAGAACTCCATGCTACCAAGACAAATAACTGTCTTCAATCAGTAAATTACTTCATACACTGTTGCTTTTTTGTCACCAGATCCAGTTACAACGTACTTATCATCACATGATATGTCACAACTTAACACAGATGAGGTCTCTTTGCACTGCAAATGACACATAAAGATAATCAGAATCCAGTTTTCTGTATCATCAGTGCACCATAAAATGTTAATTAAATGCAAACAAGAAAAAGTAATAAACAATTTTAATTGAAATTACTAGTGAAATAACACATTTATTAATATACACATAGATAAACTGATAAAATCTGACTTGTATATTTTGATTAAAATATGAACAATAATATTTCTTTACAAGAAATTTTTACTACTCAACTAAAAATACAAAATCTATATAGTTAAGCCATCATCCTAGTGCTGCATATGTTTAAGCACCCAAATGGAGCAGTTTCTTTAGCACCAAATTAAAATAAGCACATCTGATAAAAGGAAACTTTAGTTTGATATGTTACCTGTAAGATACTGGCACCATATGGTGTTCTCCAAGCATTCAGGAGGTTATCTTTACCAGTACTAATAAACCACTTTCCACAGTAGGCAAATTTCAAGGACAAAACACAGCTTTCATGTAGGTGTAATTGATATTTATCTGGCTTGGAACAGTGTAGCACTTCAACATTACTACTTTCCATGCTGTAACACAGAAAAACAGACAGTTACACTTTATTCTTGATGCATTATGTAATGGAATAACTAGAACCTTTTTTTTCAGAAACCCTAAATCACAATTTACCTATATTTTTTAAAGATAAGTTTGACAACTATGAATCAATATTTCTCTGTTAAAATAAAGAATATTAAAATCAGCACAATTAAAATATTTTTAAAGTATTACTTTTGCCTAATATGATGTAGAATAAATACTGTGGTTAAAGCTTTTAATTATTTAATAGATGAGAAGTAAAATAATGTTTACTGAAAAATTTATTTCAATGTAATTAATCTTAATCTTTCTGAATGATATGGTGTGGTATATTGTCCCTATTTAAAGTTTGTATGCTAATTTGTTAATTATACATTAATATACCCCAATTATCTGTTTAATTTGCTTGAAAGTAATTATTTTAATGCTGTAATAGTCCAAAATATTATTTTGTCTTGTATTATACCAGTGAAGTCATAGTCTTTTGGTATAGTAACTTAAAAAAACAATATATATATATATTTATGTAGTATATTCTCACCCCACTGCTAACCAAGCTCCATTAAAATATATGCACTCACCCTTCTGCTAACCAGTTTCAATTAATATATATAAATTCAATCCATTGCTATCCAGTCTCCAGTAAGATATATATCTCTATATATATATATATACTCACCCCACTGCTAACCAATCTCCAGTAGGGCAGTAGCCAAGAGAGAAAATCTGGGATGTAAAGTCATGTTGTTGCAGTTGTCGTCCCTAAAATTATATGAAATGGATACAGGAAAGAAAAATATTCATTTGAATAAAGAAAGAAGGACAATATTATAATGTATAGTGAATAATAATAATTGACTCAAAAGTGCATTTCTAAATATTTATTATTAAATAAGATAATTCAAGAATACAAACTTCTTTTGAAGAAAAATATAAATCAATTTATTATTTTAGCAATAATAATAGGCAATACTTTCAAGCTACACTGTTAATCCCTCATAAGACCTAGTAGTACAGAATACTCTCTAGCCTTTCAATCAACTTATTTCCGAGATTCCAGGAATAAATTCAGTCTTTTCTTTTTGTCATGTGAAAACAGTACAAAATAGAAATGTATATTACTGTCTAAACCACAGTTTGATGTTTTATAAACAAATAGTGTTGTTTAACTTTTTTTATCTCTAACTCACCTCCCTGAGATCCCAGGAACGGACAGTATTATCTAATCCTCCTGTCCATAGTTTAGTTCCATCACTGGATATATCTATACAACTTGCACCATCTGTATGTCCCTGAAACTGCCTGTTAACAGCAATCACATCCAAGTATATAAAGTTTCTTCATTTTTCTATGCTCTATTTATTCACAGCTCAAATGTATACATTTATATAAACAAACACAAAATAAAACCATAAGCTTAATCACATGGTACTAATTAAGATTGAATGTTTCAATAAAATGCAACTGAATATATGAATGGATTTATTTACCTGTCTGTATGGATATATACATTTTTTTTTTGCATTATATTGCTTTGGTAAATTTTTATCACACATTTCACTCTCAATTTACTGCTGTTTACAACCGTTGATTTGAGTGATATCTTTGGCTAACTATGATTTTCTATGTTGATTATTGCAGTTTTTATTTTCCCTCTTTTCGGATAGGTGTTTATTGTTCTTAGTGTTTTTGACGTTTTCGCTAAATAACTAACGAGTTTGTTGTTTTCTAATATACAAACGTCAATGCAATTAAGTCCCATCAATGTGTATACAAAGTATACTCATTTCTTCACAGAAAGGTTTATATAAACAAATTGTACATAGAGAAATACTTTGGAGAACCTACCTAACAAGTTTTTCATTATGAAGATCCCATACTGCAATGTTTCCATCACTACAGCAGCTAAAACAGACTTTAGAGTCAGGACTGATAGCAAGAGCATAACAAGCAGGAGCACTGGATGTCAGTTCTGCCTTGATACGAGGTGTTGGCTATTTAAGATATAAAATTTCATAAATTCTAGTTAAATAGGATTAATTTACAAAATTAGCCATGAATAACCTACCACATCACTAACTTTTTCTTACACTTTCAACTTAACCAAGTTAAAAATTACACAAAAATGTAAGTTCAACTGATATAAATAATTATAGAAATAATATAAAATTATATTTGTCATTGGAAGAATTATTATAATTTAAAAGTATATCAAATGTTTGAACCACATAACCTCAAATTTCTAAATACTACACGTGTCTATAAAATTTGACTTTATCATTTCTTCACAAACACAATTTCCTTTAGTTACTTTTGACAGTACTGTAAATAGACTGAAAATTATTATTATACACTGCCATGTAAAGTGCACTTGATCTCATCAATTGTACAACCTGGTAACAAAAAGTCTCAAATGAGAACCCTGATGTTGAGTGTTTTTGAACATTTCTAAGGCACTATTAAAATGGAGAGAGTAAACAATTTGTGTGTGTGTGTGTGCAAGAAGGTAAATAATATATAAAAACTCTTTGTTTGTGTGTTTGTAATTACACACAAAGCTACCCAATAGGCTACTTGTGCTATGCAGACATCCTGCTGTGCCACTGGGGGACTATATAGGACTGTATCTACATACCAGAATTTTTTTAATAAGTTTATGAAAAACTAAAAAATAGTTAGAGGAAATTTCCAATTGAAAGCTAACATATACCTAACTTATGAAAGAAAAACTATTTCCATATGGAATAAAACCATGACATAACAGCAATATGCATTTGTCCACAAAATTTAATAAACTATTGAAAAGTATAAAAGTAGTGATTGTACATATGTTTCTATTATTCATCTGATCACAGAGTTGAATTTTGACAGATATCACTTGTTTTTTTGTTTTTTCAATATTTCTCATGGAAATTAATGTACGATGTATAGCTTAAAATCTGTTTTTTAAAATACCCATAAAATGTATAAAACTTACTTCTTGATATATTATTACTATCAAAACTTCTAGCAGTCAACATTGTTTAACCATACTTACAGCAGTAAGATCCCAAATGGAAATGGTACTGGCTTCACCTCCTACAACAAGAGTCCGGCCATCGGGCAAGAGTTTGCAGGATCGAATATAATTGTCACGTTGCTGTAACAAAAGAAAAAACAACAATATTTTTTCAGTCCAAGTTACAGAAAGCACCAAATTTGTTCTTTCTTACTTCCTTTATAAATCAATATTGATACATTCATATAAAAAGAACAAAGAACACAAAATATTCTATTTTAATAGTCAGTACGGCACCATGGTTTGATAACTCCTTAATTTACATTGAAAAAAAAGCTTTAGTAACCATTTATGAAGGAATCTTAATTCCCTAGATAAATATAGACTAGAAAACTCAATTTATATCAACAATTATAAGCAAATTTAAGAACATCAAACCAAAACAAGTTGAAAGAAGGTTATATTTACCAAGCAATCAAGCTGAGACACAGGACTTTTACTTCCAGGCTGAGTTATGTCCCATACTTTCACACAACCCTAGTAATACAGAATAAGTTTGACAGTTAAACTATTAATGGGTCAATTTTAATAGTTGCATTATTAATCAATACAATGACACATTTTTTTACAGATTTACTTAACCAAACAATATTGATAAAATACTCAGTTTTTTAAATTAGAAACCATAACTGGTAATTTAGATTAGGCATACCTGATTAAGGTCTAGTATATGCAAGTAGCTTAATGCACAAGTTGAAATGAGTAAACCAGTTAAAATATGGCAATATGGGCTTTGTTCTTCACAGTATAGTATTTTAACCAATTTTAATAAATGAAAAAAATTTCATATTCTGTCTATTGACAAAATTTTAAATAATCATTAAAAGTATTACAAATATGTGGTTAATTTCAGAGAGCTTAACAACTCCTGGTCCTATTCATTAACAATCCAAACTTCCAACTACATACCTTAAAAATTCAGTGAAACCTTTCCCATATATACATATATGTTTCACAAAACTAAATCTTGTAAAAAAAAGTTATTATTGTACTGAAAAAATTTAACTAGTATATCATTCACAAAACTTATAATATCTAAATAATTTCAAGTTCCTACCAACCTTTCCACCTGTGTAAACATACTTGGTGGGACTGCTAATAGTTACAGCACAGACAACTTCTCCATGACTGAGCGTATTTATTGCATGAGCATGTCGTGGAATTCCTGGACCAATTAGTGCATCTGGAGGAAAGGGAATGGGCTGCATTTGGCCATCAGCACTGACATGGTAAGAATAAGTCCTGCTGATAAATTAAGAAATAAACAAAGAACAATTTAATAATTTATTACTATTCCAAAATCTTCACTAAATTAAAATTATCTAAGATATAAACATATGAAATTTCCTGGCTAGATGTTTTACAGTTTTTATAAGTGTTTTTTACCACTACTTTGCCCCCTGGTCCATCCATATTCCTTTAGTTATGACCAATGAAATGAACGTATTGCACGGATTAAATAAAAAACAATTTATGAGGAAATTCAACTTTACATGAGGGAATGTAAGCTTCCTGACAGCTTTCATTCAAGTGAATGTAATTTTATTTCATTATTTCTATCCCTGAGTTGGCGTGCAGGTTTGTGGTCAAGCTGTGATATGCTGTTGAATATGCTCTAGACCCTCAGCATAATATTTGACTAAGAGCAGCTGTTCAGACTGAGAATACCAGTACCAACAAAATTTCCTTCATATTTCCATTTCTGGAACATCTCTCGGAAAATAATGTGCATCATAGCACTTTTGGTTAAGAAAAAAGGCTTAATTTTTGTCATTTTAAAGAAGAAGTTATAGTCGACAAACATCATTTAAAAACAGAATGTATCTACCTACTACACAAATACTTACGGTTTCCCACCTGATGCAGGACCAAAAGCAGCAGCATTCCTCATTGCAGAATGTGGATCATAGCTTCCAACCTTTAAAAGCATTAAACCTACAAGTTAATATTATTATATATTTCATCAATCAATACAACTAAAAAATTCTAATGGGATGAGGTTTGTTACAGTTTGCTCAATATTTCTATATTAACATAAGATGATTTTTTTTGGTAAGTGCAGTTTAATTTTAGAAAGTGTTGTTTTAGAAAGTCTCAAGCTTCCTCTGTATCATTTAAACAAAATATTTCAATATTTGGGAAGTGAAAAACTGAAAATAGTATAATTCCAGATAAAATGTTTATGCTAAATTTTTTTCAAATAAACCAAACTACTTATATTAATAAGAAATAAACAAAAATATTAAAATAAAGCTTGAAATCCAAATTTTAAAAACAAACCAAAAACATTTGCTGGTAATTTCTTTAACAAAGCAAAATCTTTAACTCACCACTGAACGGGAATAGGAATTCAAAGATGAGGAAATATTGTTGTTTAACATGCTCTGAGAAAATGGAGCATTGGAGCTGAGATCTGCTGGGGACGAACTATGAGATCCAGCAAGATTACCATGCAGAGAGTAAGGATATGAAAGACCTGGAATTTAAGGTTTTAATAAATTTCTTTTTGCTTACAAAATTCTATTAAAGGTCAAAAAATAACTCAATACAACCTACAACAAACACATAGAAAAGACAAAGCATCAAAATTAAAGATCTAAGTTACTTTTTATTTAATAAAAGCCGAATCACAATCTTTCATAAATATAAGTAATAAAAACATTTTACAATTTCATATCTTTTCAAAATATGTTTTAACTATCAACTGAGTTTAGCTTTACAAAGAAACATTCTTCCCTTACCAAGTGGTAGACCTTTGGGTACAGATTTCAATCCACTGGATCCAGGAGTATTGCCACCAGAGCTTGTAGGAGTTATTGATTTTGGAATAGGAGTAGTGGACTTTTCACCCTAGAAAATGCATTACATATTTTTTGAAAAGAATCAAAGGAAAGGTTTCTGCAAAATCAACACAAGTTTTTGTTCATAATTTTAACTTTCACTATCACTAGTTCCTACACATAGTAATGTTTTATGAAATCCATGAAAAAACAAAAGGGTTAAATTTACTTATTACTCTAAATAAATAAATTTATTTATTTAAATAAATGGTTGCATATTCTAATTCTAAAATTAAAAGAATTTTTCATAATAATTTATAATATCCAACAAATGTATTTTTTTACAAGAAAACTGACTGTATCATTCTAGATATATTTGACATAAGCACTCACTTCAATCTACAAGCACATTCTTAATAATGCATTTCTCTATGATATCTAATATATTTCAGCAAAGAAAATAATATATGAAGCAAAGTAGTGCTAAAATAACTTAATAATTCTATATAAAATAAGAAACATAAAACGAAAATGGTTCTAGGAAAGATTATACGAGTTTAATTTAAAATTCAATGAAAAATGTTCATGCAATTTATTTATACCAATGAAAATTTTAACAGTTTTTGAGCTTGAACTCAGTTCCTTCAATCTTACTTGATAAGCAAGACTGATGGGTTTTGAGCTTTTACTAACTTCTTTATGCTTTGATGAAGACATGCTAGCACTGGATGATAAACTGTTGTGAGGACTGAGGTTGCCACGCTCTTTCTTAATTGGTTTTTCTGTTCCATTCTCACAAGGAGAGGACACTCCATTTAGTGCTCCTACAGAATCCTATTAACAAAGAAAAATGTTATTGTGCTATAATGAGGAAAAAAAAGAGCTTCAAATGTAAAGATCACCGTATCCAACTGACACCTATCACAGAAGCAAAACATATATATATATATAGAAATATGCACATGTGTGTACATGCACAGGTTCTCAGTAAGTACATTTTGAACATCGTATACACCCACTTCTATGAGTTTACTATCACAAAAACAGAAGCTTGACAGAATTAATACAGTAAAAATGAAGTTTCTTGGAGCTTTTTATCAAAAAGAGTTTTTTGGCCTCCCTACCCTACAACTGTCAATTACTCTAAATATATATTAGGCCTAATTTAAATTCAAACAACACATAGGCCTGTTCTAGAAGAAAGATTAAACAAGGGCAATGAATCTCAGTAACAAATTAACGTCAGTCCTGAATCTCACTAGTACAAACCATTCCCACACTCAGCAGGTATTTTATGATAACTTAATTCGATTGCTGTTTTAATTAATAGCTCACAAATTTACATGAGTATAAAGTTTTTTTAGGATTTTTCATTTAATTTAGCTTAATTTAAGAAGATATTTTGAAATAAAAACAAGTTATTACATAAAATCAAATAAAAAGTGAAAAAGAACTGGGAATTCTATGTTAATACAACATATGTTGAAAAACAAAGAAATAAGCAGAAAGAAATTATTCAAAACATATATATTATTGTTTTAAAAAATATATAAATTCAAAAATTATTTAGGGTGACCTAGAATTATATTAAACTGTGATTTAAAATTTATGTGGATTCTATAATCCATAATAAAGCAGTTTCTACAGAAAAAATCTATGAAAAGATAATTAAATATTATATAATGTAATAATCATTTAACAACAGCAAATATTTAACTCAATAATGAACATAGCTTGCCTCAGCAACATCAACCACCAGCTCCTGGTCACTTTTATCTTCATCACTCTCATGTAAAGATCCCAAAAGCTATCAAAATATGTCATAATTAGAACACAACTCCTGACATTGATTTTAATTTTTAAAAAAATCACTTACTGGTCACAAAACAATTTATGTTGCAGTATACATGTACATCATGTTCCTTACAAAATTTTTCATAATCAATTTCATTCAGTCTATTCAAATAGTAATAAGTTAAACTGTTAGATATGCATAACAATTAAACTTTTCATATCAAGGGGGGGGGGGAAATGCATACAATTTTGGGGGAAAATTATGCTTAATCCTTATGACAAAAGAAACTTACTGTCGTAAAGACGAAGAACTGTACACATATCTTTAGTCTTGTAACTCATAAATTTTTCTATTAACCTGAATAAAAAAATCTTATACTCTTTAAAAGTATTTTTATAGGTATGTAAGTTTCATAAATGGTATATTTTAATTAGGAAAAACCCTTATATAATAAAATAAAGGGAAAATGTGCATCTGGTTTATGTACCTGATCACATATATTTTGAGGAGCTTTGATCATACAAAAGTTTCAAATCTTAAAATAATCCTAGTCTGTAATTTACCTTATCTTCTTTTTTTTGTTTTTTCAATTCATGATCTAAATCTGGAGATCTGCTTCTGTATTTTTCTCTCTCATTTGGTGAAACTGAATGTCTCTGTGAAAAAACAAAGACGATTACACATATTTTACTTACTTTGGTTTTAAAACATTGCAAAAAAAATACAAGCTTCTGTATTAAAATATTAACTTCATAAATACTGTGATACTTGTGCAAATGGTTCTAACAATACATTTATTCATTATCCCACAGTTTTTGTTTGCTTCATGTCTCTGTGGTCTATCTAACCTGAATCAGTCTATGATGCTATGTATAATTTTCTTTCCCGTTCTGCCTGTTATCTATCAATCTATGATTTAGAAAGTTTGTTGAAGAAAAACAAAGGGGATAATATTACCAAACTCTTTGTTGATTCATAAACTTCCAAAGCCTCGTAAGTAATCAGCTCTCCTACCGCTTCTGTATTAGTAAGTTGGAACGTTATACTTTGGATACGATAGTGTGTAAGAGTTCCATGATGGAAAAAGGTTGGCCAACATGTTAAGGATAAGATATTTCAGCATCTACTATATACTCCTAAACTCAACAAACAAAAACATAGCAGCCAACAAAAGTATTCACATTTTTACCTGAAACATAAACCATTTCTACCATTACAGGTATGGGATTCTCACCAGGAAGAGAAACCACTGAAGCACAACTAATCCCATTATAAACGCATTGTACGCGTTCACTCACAGGAACCCAGCTGCGGGATATTATCTTCCCGTTTTCATCGTACACAAATTCATCAAACCCGCTGAATTGCCTGCAGACTTAAAGCCCCATAGTGGTGCCCCTTCTTACCATCTTTGTACACACAGAGAACAAATGCTAAAGCACCCCACAGGACATCAAATTAAGAGCCCAGCCCGCTGTACCAATTGGAAACGTCACTTTAGGGCGTAACGTTACACTATGGGTGTTCCTGTACATCATCAAGAATGCTATTATCTTCCCACCCTGTACTTTTCACGATCTGTACCACGTGACCGTGCAAAATTGAAAACCATTAAATAGATTCATAAACTGCCCTAGCCAGCCTTTGATCCCTTGCAATACCCTGTAATAGTCTACATATTTGACATCTTTATTACGTCATAAACCTGTATGATTCCTAATTAATTTTCTAATGAATTCAAAAACCAACTCACGAATCAAGTTCTTACTTCATGAGTTAGGTGACTGGAATATAAATTTTTGTTCTTCGTAATACGCTTATTCACATATGTAAACGAATGCCTTTAAAGTTAGATTGATTATTTAAATGAAGTAATGCCTTTTACTCAGATGTGTCTTAATTACCTGGGGCATAAATTAAAAAGAAGGGGTGGGGTTAATATTGATACCCCCTATTCTAGGTGAAAACAAAAAGTTGAGAATATCCAATTCAAAATATCACCTTATTTATATCAACAATATTTGATACATTGATTAATTTGTCTTAGCTGTTACTCACTTAAAAACGACAAACTCGTAACAGTGTACAATGGTTTCTTACAGTTACTCAAGAAGCCTCAACAAGCTCTGTACTCATTTCATCCAACATTAAAATGGTTGTGTGTGTGTGTTATAAAACGCCTATAACGCAAGAATTGATCTCTCACTCAATATCAAACCCAAGAAAACATGAAAGACTGTTGGTCTGCACTACTGTACAAACTGATAATTACTTAAGCATGTATCAAACTATGCTTTTAGGAAATGCTTAGACCGAACATCTAAAATAATAAAATGATTTAGAAATGGCAAGTCTTATGGAAAGAAGCGTGCCTTGGTTTGTTCAATCGATCGATAGCGAGAAAGGCATAATTCATCTCTCAAATTCTCAGGTCTATTGTGGTGCATATGACTGTCTACACTGACGCAGTCACGAAATCCTTTCATTAAATGTTATTTTCAGATAATTTGACGGAGCGCTAGCAGAAAAAAAATCTATAAAATTCATCGTAGATACAATGAAAAGTATGGTACAACAAAACTTTGGTACCCCGCCTTGTGTAGAGCATTATTTATTCTGAGAAATGTTAAAAACCGGCAATAATGACAAAGTCTGCTTCAGAGAGAGAGAAAAAAAAACATTAGTTGGGTTAGTGGCCTTCGTTACTCGAAAATATTACTAATCTTATAAAACCAGTTCAACACTCGGTGGCTAAACCCCAATACCGCGAGCGAGGTAAATGAGAATCGACATGATTCTTGAACACCCCGGGATTTTAAACCCAAATACTTACCACTGTAATTTGGCTCAGCAGTAAGTCGGAAGTTTTATAACGCTAAAAATCGCGTTTCGATAACAAATAGTTCATTGTGTAGCAGATAACAAATAGTTCATTGTGTAGTTTTCTGCTTAACAACAAAGAATAACACTACTAATCCGAAACTGTCAAAAAAAAGTTTTAATGGCAGATAACTTGGGAAATTAAAACCACATCTTAAACTGTCAAAAAAAAATTTAATGGCAGATAACTTGGGAAATTAAAACCACATCTTAAACTGTCAAAAAAAAGTTTTAATAGCAGATAACTTGGGAAATTAAAACCACATCTTAATATAAAGCGTATACATTATTAATTGTTATTCTCAGAAAATTACTGATTAAACGGTTGGTTGTTTTATTACGTCTAGTTTCAAGTATTAATAATTATTTTTTGATCAAGTAAACGAATTACTCAACCGATAAGAACAGTCATGTATTCAGATGTTCATAGTGCCTACAGCGTGAACATCATTGGTATTTTTTTTTCTCTCGCAAAAATGAAAAGATGAATTAGCAGGAACGGGTACACTATGGTTTTCCTATATTTGTTTGTTAAGCCTAATGCTACACGATGGGCTATCTGAGCTGTATCAACCAAGGGTATCGAAACCCAGCTTTGGGTGTTATAAGCCTTCGTAATCCACTGGGGGCGCTATACTATTCAGTTATGGATGCTTTGTACTAGTGGCTCCAGAATGGAAAAGCAAAGACCATGCCAAAATCCTATAATCAGTTCAAGCCGTTGATGTTGGTCAATGTGCTAATGACAAAAGCGCCTTAACTATTGGACTACAAATTCCCAAAAGGAAGAAGAGCCTCCACAAGCTAGCCTCTTCAGTCATACAAAGAAAACGTGACCACCTGGGTGTGAACCGATCTTTAATATTTTACAACCCCAGCTCGTTCCCTTTTGGAAAAATGACTTAACGGAAGAGGGTTTGCAGACTGATTATTGCTTTACGTGCATAGGATTTCTATAAACAGATTAGGTACTAATCCTAATGAATATTCTTTCACTATTATTATTATACCAAAATAATTTATTGGAAATCAGAGATTATCTCACGCGGCCAATAGCCTCTGAAGGTTAATGTTAACTTCTCTAAAAGGGAAACAAAGGCAGCTTGGAGGGGTCACCTGTTTTAACCACTCCCATCATTATACAGGAGTGTGTTGTCTCTTAGACAGTCGGTAGACACTAAAATGGTGTCAAAATAAGGGACGTTAAATTTAATGTTGCAGTTTGTATTGTCGTGACTTCAGTAAATTTTTTGCCTTTCTCGATTATATTGTATGAAATATGATACAGCTGTCTCTACACTAATTAGTGATTATATTGTATGAAATATGATACAGCTGTCTCTACACTAATTAGCGAATTAGTTTCACAATGTTATTGTAATTTATTTCTCATATATATATGATTTCCATAAAAACACGCCCCACCCGTAGTTTTAGTGATAAGCTTGATGAATTATAACTAAAGTTTCAGGTTATATGTCTGCTGTGGTCATAGCACAGACAGCCAATTGTACAGATTTGCACTTAACAATTAACAAATAATAAATATATTTTTTACGCTTAAAAAAGAAATAAATATAGTTCTTAAAAATGGTAATCCCTCTGTCAATGCGCTGTGAAGCCTAAGAACAATTTATTTTTCAGTTAAATCATAATAACTAATGAAGAATAGATTCAACCATTCAGTAATGAAATAAAGCCACAATAGTTTTCCCATTAATTTCACATACGGGATTTACATGATAGTCTTGTTCCTTCATCTTTATCAGAAAGTTCTTAATACGATGTACATCTACATATAATCAAAACCTGCCATTCCTGATAATCAACGTTTTATGTTCGTTGCCTGTTCGATCGCTAATTCAGTAGCTTTCAAACATTTGAGAAAACAGAAACTAACGTACACATCCTCGTTAACTAAAATAACATCACAAAATCTCAAACAAAAGCATCATTATCGTTTAACAACATTGTCTTAACGAAATAATCTACGTATAATCAATAAAGTCATAAGTTAAAAAGTAGTTATTAATCTCAACAATAACACGAGGAAATACTTAGTGTTTTAACCCTAAAAAAGGATGAAACAGTCTAATGATCCACCTAAAATATTGCATAAGATATTGAAAACACACAGCTTTTATGTGTTTCACACAGTCATAGAAATGCAAATATCAGTGGAGGCATGGTTCATTTATCTTAGCTTACAGATACTACTGTTATTTTTGAATTAAAAAAAACCTTCCATGATATTCAGGAACGGTGTTAAAATTATGTAATTTTTGATTATGTTTTTGTATATTTATTTATGATACAGCTGTCTCTACACTAATTAGCGATTATATTGTATGAAATATGATACAGGTGTCTCTACACTAAGACACTCTACACTTTACAGAAACTACACACACACGTCATACAGGGAGGACAGAAAAAGTGCTACTACTTGGAGTACATGAGATACGTAAAAGTGTACTTACAAGTCTGTAAGTGAGAGACTAATACGTTCCTGTTTTTTTACTACAGTATTTTATTGTATAAAAATATACTTTTTATACAATATAATTTTTGTACATATATGAGCTACACGAATGTTCATAAAAATTTGGTTGGTCAGTTACTTTATCATTAAAAATAATGAATTACTTTATTTGAACTCGTACGAAACACAGTTTATCCACCGTTTGCAGTATTAATAAACGTTATCGTAATCCTTGTCCTCTCTTCCCTATACCACCTCGTTCTAGTAGTTGAATAAACTCTACTTCAGAAAAGCTGGCTAAGAAACGAGAAACAGATTTAAACTTTCTTGATGGGCAAGTTTTCAGTTCTTGCCACGTCATGCAGGGAGGACAGAAATAATCCACTTACAACAGATGATCTATAGCAGAAAAAGTGCTAGTACTTGGAGTACATGAGATACGTAAAAGTGTACTTACGGGTCTGTCGTCAGAACTATGAGCTGTGATGGAGAATCGATTAAAGAGCGAGCCAGTCGGATCCCACAAAAAAAAGAGGAAAAAAATCAACCATAAATACAAAAAAAATAATCATATCATCTTCTAATAAATTGGGATTCTAGTTTTCCCTTTGGCTAACAGTAGTTTGAAGAAACCTTTTTACTGTAAGTTGTTTTTATACATATAACGAACTTTTTTCATTAGATTTAAACAACTTTAAATACATCCAAAGCGTCCCTAAGATTTTCGTGTCACTGGAACAACTTATCATATCTTTAAAGCCCTATTATTTTTACAGCATCTTTCTCATTCAATTTTCATTTCACGATACATATGAAACATGAAAGTAATTTTAACACATCTGTTATTCGTAAAATGTAATTCTACTTAGACCAATGGTAAACTAAAGTTTTCGAATGTTAAACAACTAAATGGGAATAGATATTTAGTTGGATTTAACTTAAGCCTAGAATTACCGATAAAGGTTGTTCATTTCTAAATAATTTTTTCTAACGTATCTATGCACAAATTGCGTATGTAGAGCATGAATATGCAGCAACGACACGCAAACCATGAGTCCCTCGCTAAACAGTAGGCAACGCTCAGCCAGGTAATTTGGGGTTAAGGACGTTTCATAAGCATTTAAGTTACGACTTCTTACAAGAACATTATGATGTGTAAAAACTATCCTGCATTCAATTAGAGAAAGAGATAAAGTTCGAATATACAAACATTCGAAACTATACGTTCTTGACAACTCGCCATTTTTTTTATCATACCAATATTATCCTGCAAATATCAAAAACATTGCTTTTTGAATTTATAGCTCTAAATGTACTTAATAATAACAACAAACATACATATATTAGAAAATTACAATTACAACCAGTTTAACAATAAATAATTTAACATCAATAAATGTTATGATGGCAATAACGATACTTATTTTCAAGCTGCAACGATTTTTTTTTGAAACAGCCTTTTTATTATTTTCAAATATATATTTGTATAGCTTCTAATTAACGATTGCATTTCATCATTATGTATCTAGACCTACCGCTATTGGATCGTTTATCTTCTTTGTGGTCCTTCACACCAGAAATGGACATAGCTGATGATAATGCCGCCGACAGATGCGAGCCAGGCACTCCGCCTGCAAGTGAATTCGAGAGAGCTAACAGGCCGGCTGCACTAGTTGGTGGAATGGCGGGTGGCGGGAAACCAGCCATGGCCGCTGCCGATGCGTAAGACATCATTGGAATTGAAGGAGGATGTGCATGTGGAGGAAACTGTGGTGTGTGCATCTGATGCTAAAGGTGAAAAAACAAAAGATAAGAATAGGCATGACCTTCACCATAACACGTAATTTTGCTATCCATCATTGACGATGAGTTTAGAAAATTGCACTGGAAAACACACACATATTCTTAAATACGTGAACTATTAAAAAAAACGGATTTAAAATACGTAAATTCTCACTACTGTATCAAAACTCAAAACAGGCGTGGAACTTTTAGTCATCTAAACGAAATGACAAATAAAATTGTTCTTTTTTTTTATAGATCTCAAATCTTAATTCATTAACAGAATTGAAAGCCAAACTTAGAAGTTTGGGCAAAATTATAAACAGCAAGACCTTGTGACCCGATTGTAGAAAAAAAAATCAATAACTTACTATATGTCAGTGTCATCCACCCTAGGATACAGAACACGATGAATTATCGTGTTTTCCTATCAACTTAACTTTGGTTGTCTCATACTAATATGAAAATCCAATGAAATTAAACATAGTTAGTTATACTTATTACGTACTTTGGACATTGTTAAATAGCCACGAGAATCAAGATTTGTTACATAGGCTTTAACACATACACATTGTTGGCGAGGTAGCTGCTCGTAGGATTTAATATACACACATTAGTGGCGTGGTAGCTCATCATAGGCTTTAACACATACGCATTGTTGGCGAGGTAGCTCATCATAGGCTTTAACACATACACATTGTTGGCGAGGTAGCTCCTCGTAGGATTTAATATACACACATTAGTGGCGTGGTAGCTCATCATAGGCTTTAACACATACGCATTGTTGGCGAGGTAGCTCATCACAGGCTTTAACACATACACATTGTTGGCGAGGTAGCTCCTCGTAGGATTTAATATACACACATTAGTGGCGTGGTAGCTCATCATAGGCTTTAACACATACGCATTGTTGGCGAGGTAGCTCATCATAGGCTTTAACACATACACATTGTTGGCGAGGTAGCTCATCATAGGCTTTAACACATACACATTGTTGGCGAGGTAGCTCATCAGGTAAATGACAGCAGGGATAATTTTCTGCACACCAAAAGACCCCTCCCCTCGTGAAAGCTGTATTCTAATGTAACTATATTTAAATACATGTACTATATTGATAATCTGGCACAGAAAATATTATTATGGTACTGTAGATCAAGGTTATTGGGTGAAATTCACCATGAAATAATATCCATATATTTTTTTATCGAACAGAAATGTACCAAAGTTGCAATGTTTTTTGTGTATGCCAAATATTGAAGACAATTCAATAAAACCATATAATGATTCGTTATTAAAAATATATCAGCTTGTATGTAAAATAAGGAATAACACAAAGGGCAGCATTTGAAAATTAATATTAGTTCATAAATTAACCGCTAGTGTAAAAAATGGACAAAAGTAACTATTGTCCCCTAAGTTTCAACAAAAATAATAATTCTATGTTAACAAGAGGTTGATATATATATGGTCTATAATTTACCAAGTTAATATAATAACATAAAATTTGAAATAACAGAAAACACACTATAAGCTAATACCACAACAATTCATATGCTAAATATCTCTAAAACTTTATTTGATTTAATTCCAAAGACAAATTCCATATTAAAGAAGAATATCCATCATGGTCTTTTCGATTTAATGGTTACTTATATATGTATAAAACACAAGCGTAGTCTTTAAACAATCATTAAATCACACAAGAAAAAATCAATCAATGAAATGGTAATTACTTAAACTATTGGATTTAAAGCACTATTATTTCTCCAAAACTCCAAAACTAAATTATATATTGAAAAATAATATTTATGATGGTATTTTTGTTTAATGATCGTTTATATACATAAAACAAGAACAGTCTTTAAACATTTATTAAATCACATGAGAAAACACCATTTAACGAAACGATAATTACTTAAACAATTGGATTAAAAGCTATTTTGTTTCTCCATAATTGCTAACATTATATGAAATACCGAGAATATAATCACTGTATATTAATATGGATTAAACTACACAGTTTATAGTCAGGGCTCCCTAATTTCTTTTTGATTGTGGTGTAAAAGCTAACGATCGTCCATGTTATAACACTACTCACTAAAGAGGAACACGTTACTTCGTGAGAGCTAAAGTTGATCAACTGCTAATTAGGAAGGCTTGCTGTGAGGAAAAAAAAAGGACCGCCCTAAGGAAATTACTTGGTATTTTTTTCTTTACAATTTAACTATAATAAAGAATGCGAGATCGAAACTGTGGAAACATAAATGATGACTTGGATCATACCCATTCCAAAAATTAATTAATTTTTGTCCGCGCTTCGTTATCGCCTTTAATTACGTCTCCACTTTCGAAACAACGCCATTATAAGGCCAATTAGAAACAACAGTTAATAACTGTTACACTCTATTGATTACACCTAACGTTATTGATCAAAAACTTTACGAAATTAATAACTATAAACATATGATAGTTACTATAAAGGGCAAAAGTTATTAAAGCAAAGCAAGGCAGTATCTTACATAAAACTAATAACTGAATATAATACTTAAACCTTAAATTTTACAAACTGAAGATGAATGGTGCGTATATGTGTTCCCTATCATTAGTAATATGGATTATTTTTAACTGTTTATATCTTCAGACATTCATATTTGTCTGACCATCCTGTTGTTCACATTAAATAGGCACATGCCAAGCGAGAGGTTTAAGCTTTATGGTATACATACGACATATATCTGCAAAGAAGGAATAAAACTAACATTAAAAAGCGTATACGGAAAATCCACATTTTACAAAGTGCCTTGGTGAAACAGACACATGCACGAAGGCAGGTATATGAACCAACACCCGTACCTCTATCCGACCCCATACGCTATATAAAGACAGGTGGTGCTGTAATCCCAATAGAGTTAATATGACCACATGTGTTTAACAAAGCAGGTGTTCTTGCTCAGAAGCGAATACAGTGTAGAAAGTAACTAGGTAACGCAATAGCGACTCTTTCCTGCATATTTTGTTCTCTTTTCTACACCAACACGCTCTATAATACAAGGAAGAACACGTTTTAGACGCTATAATTTAGATCACTTGAAACAATAACATACTAGTACATTATTTTACTTGTGTTATAACTTAAGCCTTTAAAAAAACAATGGTTAATAAGATGTCTAACTTATACAATAACATAATATTACGTACCAAAAAATTATAAATATCGATTTTACAGACAGATTTTAAATTTATAATGCCATAAGCTCAGAAAAATGTTAATATGTAGAGATAGATCTAAAACACGAACATTCTCATCCAACAATGGGCACACAGTAAGTCGATAAGAATAGAGAAAAGAAGTAAAAAAATTCGTGTAAAAATATACTAGCTGAGTATTGGGCCAACTTTACTAAACATTTTCACAAGGTTGGACCATCTTGGCAGGAAAAAGAACAAAGTTGATTCATTTTGAATGAGTAGAAACACCATAAGATATATATGTAATGCGTACAAACAACGATATAGCTGAGAATGTGCCTAATAATCGACAAGGTAAAAATCGTAATAGTTAAACTTGACAAGAGTGAGTCAAAATAATCAAGCAGTGTCAAAGAAAGTTCGACAAACAAATTATATCTGCAAAATAGATATAGAGCCAAAATAGAGCCAGGATAGACTAAATGCAAAAGCAATAAGATGTAGAGAAAAGTTTAACATAGGAAATTAGCATAAAAGTAGTTTTAAGGGTAGGCATAATTGTTACTATTGTAATGATAGAAGTATAATAAATAAAACTGATGACCTTAGAGCATTGGTAGGAATGGAGGATTTTGATATAACAGGAATAACTGAAACATGACTAAATGTAGACAATTTGGATGATATAATTATTTTTGAAATACAGGGTTATAGGTAATGAATAGGAATAGAGTGCTAAAGAGAAAGGGAAAAGTAGTTTTATGTGTAAAATGTGAGTTATATCCTGTTGAAGTTGAGGATATCAAAGATAATAGTAAGGATACTGGTTCCATTTGGGTCTCGATTAGCTGATATAAAAGGAAAAGGATTTTATTGGGAATTTGTTACCGACCACCAGTGATACTGATGAAATTAATGAGAAACTTTACAGTGAAATTATAATTTCAGCTGTTAATGAGGTCATAATTATGGGTGATTTTAATTTCAGACATATATATTGGTATATGTTAGAGTTAAATCATGAGGGAGAAAGTTTTGGAAACAGTTCAAGATGGTTTTCTTTACCAATATGATCAAGAAACAAATATTTTAGATTTATTGTTAACTTCTAACATAGAAATTGTTGAGAGTGTTAAAATTGGGGAACAACTGGATGCAAGCGACCATTGCTCTATTAGGTTCGATATATTGCTGTATATAAAGATAAGGAATAATGATATTTTTGTCACAAATATTAAAAAAGCAAGTTTATAAGGGGTGCGACAAGAATTATGTCCTGAATTAGGCAGCTCAGTTATTTGGAGACAATGTTCAAATGTGGAAAAATCTTTAAATACTCAAGATAATCATATTCCTTATATAAAGAAAAGGTTGGCTCACAACTGGTATAATGGATAAAATTAAAGGAAAGAATTAAAAATTTAAATTGACTGGTTTGACAGGAAATTTAGAAGATTATAGAATATCAAGAAAGTTGGTCAAACAGGAAATTAGGACATCAAAAAAGATGCATGAAAAAAATGCTGCCTGAAATATATAAAAATTAACAGTAAGGATTTCACTAATACCTGCAGAGTAAACAAAATGTTAGGATAGGGATAGGACCTTTGGGGGATGATAAAAGAAGGCTTGTATTTGATGATTATAAGACAGCTGGGTTATTAAATTATACTTTTTTTTCAGTTTTTATTAACGAAGATATAAGCAGTATTCCTTATCTTGAACAGGTGATAGATGAAAACTAGGTCGGAGAATATGACTGCATTAATTCTGAGTTTGTTAAGAAACAATTGTGAAGTTTAAAAAATTATAAGACTCCTGGGCCACATAATATTTCCTCAAGGGTTTTGAAGGAGGTTGAGGATTGGGTATGTGAGCCACTTGCTACTATTTTGTGCAAGTCCTTGAATCATGGGCAGATGCCAAAGAATTGGAAGTTAACTAATGTCACTCCTTTTTTCAAGGGAGGTGATAAAAACTGTCCCAGTAATTATAGGCCTTATTAATCTTACTTTAGTTATGGGAAAAGTTTTGAAAAATCTGAAAAAAAGATGTTTTGCAAAGACACTTAACAAAGTTTAAAATTTTATTGAATAGTTAACATGATTTCACTAAGAGAAAATCTTACCTTACAAATCTTTTGACATTCTTTGAAAAGGTTATTGCTTATGTAGATGAGGATAAGAGTGTAGATACCGAGTATCTTGATTTTCAGAAAGCACTTGACAAGGTGCCACATAAAAGGCTTGTAAAAAAAATTATCTCTATAGGTGTGGGGGGATAAGTTAGCTAAATTGGATAGAAGAAAGCAGAGGGTTGTTATAAATGGAATTCGGTACATCTGGATTAATGTTACAAGTCGGGTACCTCAGGGCCTTGTCTTAGAACCTCTGCTCCTTTGATTAACATCAGTGACATAGATGAAGGAATAGTCAATAAATTATTTAAATTTTCTGATGATATTAAAGTTTTGGGTGTTGCTGGCTGCAAGGAGGATGCTGCAGCTTTACAAAATAATTTAGATAATATAGTGAGTTGGGCGAATAAAAGACAGATGGGTTTTGATTATAATAAATGCAAGATATTGCATGTGAGTTATCATAATTCAATTATAAGTATAATTTAGATGGGAATAACCTTAACAGTGTTATGAAAGAAAGGGATCTTGGTGTAGTG